TGGAAGTGAAAGCCCCAAAAAATAAATTAATTCATACGTAGCTGTCATCCGTACGCAAGGAAGTAAGCACAAGATGCCGAACCCCCTTAGCAGGATGCAGCTCACCCTTCATGCGACTCGCCAAATACCTCACGGCGCTTCGCGCTTGGTGATGTGAGAGCCTGGTCCGGTGAGAACCCGGCGTGCTCCGTCCCGGCTTTGTAGGGATGGGAGGTCAATGGTCAAACGACTACGGCATGCACGACTAGCCCCCCCCCCCCCCCCCCCCCTCCAATACCTTCGTGGTGCAAAAAGCCGGTTCGGTCGGGTAGCACTAGAGGTACCGACGGCGCCCCCCGGCTTTCGCAACGACACGAAGGCGTCGTGGTTGGGGGGACAGGACCGCGGACACGCATGCCTGACGAATATAATCACGACCAATGTTCCCTCCAACGTGTGCCTTTACAAACCTTGGACAGAGCCAACGCCTTCCTCCTCACGGCGGAGACCATGGCGTGGGTCACGTTCACGTCCACCACCTCGGGAAGGGACAGCTGCGTCTCCATCACCCCCCGCTTCTTCTTCTCCCCTCCCTGGCCGCCGCCGCCGCCGCCGCCGCCGGCACCACCGTCGACGCCACCTGCCGCTGCTGTTGCTCCCGCCGCCTCCTCCTTCCCTGCTGCGTCTCCTCCCCCCTCGTCGCGGTGGACAGCGACAGCAAGGGGAACCTCTTCGATGACGGGCTCCCGGCGGTAGAGGGCCTGAGGGTGAGTTGCGATTACGTGGGAGGGGGGGGTGTACTCATGTTTTGCATGCCTTAGTTGTTAAACCATTGACCACGCGTGCGGATCGGGGTGGGGTGCATCAAATTTGGTGCCCTTGGCCCAACCATGTATTGGGGGGGAGGGGCGTTCACAGCTACGTAGTCTTAAGGCATGTAGATCAACAGGGGCAAGGCCGAACCTTTCCTCACACCAGCCACTTGTCCAAAACCTCTTATCTACGACGCTCATACCATCTAGATTACGAAACCGGAATGTAGGGTCGGAGTTGGGAGCGGGGGGTCGCGTCTACTCTCCGCTTCACGTGCGTCCAACTCAACAAGAGGCGCACAAATCGAAGCGACGGCAAGAATGACACATGAACACGAAAAGGGACGAGAAGACAAATTGTCCTTCTTACATTTCGCGAACACGTACGCAACAATGCAAATCATTACAATGCCTACCGTCTTCCACACAAGATAAAAAAAAACACATAATACCACACCCGGTGATACGATGGTGTTCAGGATCAACGCGAATCCAAAACGTACACCACTCCCAGATCAAGTGACTAGGGTCACCCAAGATACCACCCGCCACCCACCCACCACAGAATAGCACGCACCCCCGATGGTATCTAACATTTTCTTGGACGCTAAAAAATGTTCTATGACCGAGGGTATTCTCTCGTGTAAGCAAATTCGGTGAACGGCGTTTATTTGATCCAGCGAAGCACCCAACAACATGGTAGCAGGCACCAACGCCGAGGTGAACAGGACCACGACAGGACCATGGCGGTGGCAGCGGCCCGTTCCTAGGATCGTTCTGCGGAAGGCGACACGGAAAAACCCGCCACAAAAAACAAAACAACAAAACAGGCCGGCTTGCCTGGTTAAAGTAGCCAGCGCCCACTGTGGCGGAAACCGTGGCGTCGAGGTACCGGCCGGCCTCGTGCCGAAGCGCCGCCTGCAGCTGCCGCACGTCCAGGTGGAACAGGGGGACTCCGAGAGCGTTGCTGACGAGGCCTAGCCGCAGGTCGGGCAAGCCCGCGCCCGCCTGAAGCATCGATACCTGCATGTAAAAAAAAAAACGAAGACAACAAGGGGGGAATGTTCAGAAGGTGACTGTAGCAGGTGCGCAGCGTTTGGCCCGCCCGACTCTCGCGCAGCCAAAATGGACAGAGCGCTTCGACAAAAAAGGCGGTGTATGGCTGTTCTAAGCTAGTGCCAGTGTCGCTTAGGCAGGAACCAGGGTGCAGAAGGCAAGCACCCCGACGCTCGATGAATCGCGCACGTGCTGGAGATGGCATCAGTATCGAAGCTGTAGCTCTCCGGTAGATCAGGGAAGATTTTGTCGGACAAGCAAAAGCAACAACAGCAACCACAGCAACAACAACAACCACAACAACAACAACAATAACAACAACAACAACAACGACGACAACGACAACGCCAACGACAACGACAATAACAACAACAACAACAACAACAACAACAACAACAACAACAACAACAACAACAACAACAACAACAACAACAACAACAAGATCCGAAAAAGGCAGCTACCTGGACCGGGGGTTCCGCGTGGGGCCCCGTCACGGCCACGGCGTGCGCCGGGTTAGCGAAGGCGTACCCCTCGACCGTGAGCGGGTTGCGGTCCCTCCTCGCCCTAGCGAAGGCCAGCATCTCCTGCCGGTGGGAGTGTCGGAGGGCCTTGATGGCGGTGGCCGCCCTCGTCACTCGCACCGCGCCGTGCATGCTCCTGCTTGAAGGCACGCCGTTTCGAGGTCACGGAGTTAGTAGACAGGTGTGGGATATGAACAGACTCGAAGTGAGCACCCTACAAAAAAATAAGCCCACTCAACGCATGCCCTTCGACTGTCTGCCGTCACGTTTCGAAGGGGCAGCCTTTCTTTGATTGTATTTACATCTTCTGTTGAAAAGAGGCGGATTGAAGGCGTTGATGAGGGAGCGGGGGGTAAAAAAACGCGCACGCCAGACCATCGCCAAGGGGGGGCCTCTGTGTCGAAACCATGCAACACCCCCAGGCTGGGCGCCAACTTTGGTCGGGAGGGTAGAGGTAGGGGTGAATATCACCACGACATCATGCCCACATGAACCGGAAACAGCACAGAGATGTTTGTAGCGCGTTCGTGGACGTAAACCTCCCCTTCCTCCGTGCGAGTCGGCCAAGCAAGGGCGCCGGCACAGGCACCAAGCATCCAACAAGCGCAACAACTACCCACGCAACGACATGCCAACCCCCCCAACCACGACTAGCACAACACAACACACACACCTCGCCATGCTGGAAAGCAGCTTCACGTCCGAAAGCGACATCCGCGCCTCGATGCTACCCATGCCGCCTCCCACGGTTGTAACCCCCCCCCGCCCCC